CGTACGTCCCGTACGTCCTGACACTCTCAGGAAATGTAACCCGGAAGACATATACCAGCATCGGCCGGGAGATGCCAGAGATGTTGCAGGGGGGACATCAGGGATGTTGCAGGGATAAGCAATGCTGAGGGTGAGTGTAGCTCGGGGTTACTGCTTTTGGTACTGAAAGTTAACCCCGAGCTACACTCGGGAATACCACCAGGGGGGTTAAAATTCAATATCCCAACATTAAAAAGTTAAATGAAGTTTTGTTAAAGGACTAACTAGATTAATGAAAAGAAAGTTAATTTACCCAAATTTTCCAAATTGTGTGCAAAGAAGATACATGAAGAATCTAATATTTAACGGTAGTAAATCAAACCCTGATGGGCTTGCTGTTTATTCCTGCAAATTTGTCAGCATTCATTCAAGATTTTCTTCAGTTTCAGTACTTGAGTTGACTATAGTCGTATTAGTGCAACTGCAATAAGAACAATTGAGTACTGTCCTGATGCTTTTTTTTTTATTGGCACTAACATCCAAATTTTTAGGACAAGCTTTTGTGGTGTACCCCCTTCCTTAAGGTCCAAGCAATACTACAAGTTGGACCTTAAAAAGGGGGTAAACCCTGAAACTTGGACCTTGAAAAAGGGGGTACACCCTGAAACTTGTCCTGAAAATTTTAATGTTAGTATAAATAAAAAAGTATCATGGACAGTACTCAATTGTTCTTTAGCTTCAGTAGAATGAGGGGTGAAATGATTTAAAAAATAATTGTCAAACTGTGTTTTATTTACTACCATTAGAAAACCTATGACCTGGATGTTCAGTCCCCGACAGCAATGTTGGTTATTTCTTTCCAGCTAAAGACCCACCCAAGTGGTAGCACAACATAACATAGTTCTCTTTCTCTTTTCTGGGCAAAAGAAGACTTTTTCTCAGAGGCATATAGGAAAAGGTAAATGCCTAATAGATACATTGATGTGCACAGACACCTCAGTATGACTGGTGTAATTTGAAGTGCCCCTGCTGAGTATCTCCTGCTCCTACTGAAGTAAACCAAGTGCTTCCTAGACAGTGTTGTTAAATCACTGAATTAATTTTTTCTGGCTATGTGGTGTAAAAGCGTTTTTTTTTTTTTTTTTTTATAAAAAGAAAATAGTTTATGTAAACACTGTTATAGATAATATCTGCTGCAACTAGCAGAGACAGGAGACCAGAGTAATTGCATAAAACATGTTCGTAAGCACTAAATAATATGTGTTGATAACACAAATCCACTCATTATTGCTTTACTTTATTGCACAACTGTGACGGAATGTGGTGAAATAACAGGAATTCAAAATCGCAATTATAGATCCCTAACCATAATACTGTTCAGCTTCAAATTTAATTAAATTTAATTCAACATTCAGTATTAATATGAAGTAACTGTCAAAGTGATGTAATAAACTGCAGCTATTACTATTGCATTGTGTTTTTCACAATTATTCATCAAAGACGTAAATTATAAATAAAAGCAAATTGACATATAACAAGATTTCTGCAATCTGTACACTTTTGTTGATAGAAAACAGTGTGAAATGGTTCCATTAAGAAAAACAAACAAATCAACACATGAAATGTCAGAAATGCAAATACATGATTAATGTTAATGAATATGTAATATAAATGTACCACTTGTGCCTACATTTAGACTAATTAATCAAACAACTGCTATGCAGCCAATAATTGTCTTAACGAGTTTGACACTAATCCAAGGTGGCAATGAACTGCAACTCTTAAAATTATCAGCAAAGCAAAGAACTGAACCCTGTTTATTCTGCTGTAAACAAGGAAAAACAAGGCCTTTGGCCATTGGTAACAAACCATTTTTGTTTTTGATGTTTTTCAGCAATAAATTACCAGAGCATTTTGCACATTCAGTCAACTCATTAAAAAAAAAATCTACTTTTTTGTAGACTCCATTTAACTCTTTTAATAATTAAAAGTTAATCCAAGATGACTGTTATTATACTATATACAGTACTATCTTTCCTCTTGCAGATTAATGGGTAGGCAGATAAAATACTCTCTGTTTGGTGAAGGAGACTTAAAGCAGTTGTAAACACATGTATATACCCAGTGAAGTGACTAGCCTCAGGTGACACACAGAGATAAAACAAATACAAATGTTCCTACATAAGTTGTACCTGTTTATATGCAGGCCCCTTATCTCTACAGAGCTGTTACATTTTGCAGAGCTCAGTGAGAGGAGCTCTGAGGGTTGATTGGAGGGAAGGGACACATCTTCTTTCACACAGCACACAGGAACAGAGCTGAGACTGCCAATCAAAGGCTGTGTGCTAGAGCTCCCTCCCCTGTTACCTTTTTTATCTTGGTGTCAGACAAAACCTGTCAGAAGTGACTCATGCAGATAGCAGAGGAATGGGGCAGCAGAGAGAAATGACACTTAGTGCTTGGGATTGAGACACACTATAGAGGAATATGCTTTGTTCATATTTCATGTCTGTGGTTCATAACCACAATAATAGATGGCAGTTCAAATAGGTCCTTAGAGTAAAAAATGTTATGTACTGTGTTATACAGTAATTTGTCAAATTATGGAATATCAGTGAAAACTTTTAAAGGCTAAATCTAAAAGAATAAGAAATGAGTAAGCTCTCAGGATTTTGCAGTCTCTTCCTAAAACTGACATACATCAGGTGTAGTATATAGCTTTCTTTAGCCAGCTAGATGCCTACTAGGACAATTAGACAAGCATGCATGATCTAGTGATGAACCAAGTGTCAGTTTGTGCAGGGTTTAGTGGGGACTGGACCAGAGAGGAGCAACTAGCAGATGGTATATGTAGTGTGCAATATTTGAATGCTATAGCGGAAGGTGAGCATGGACAGGGGAGAGAGGATGAGCAGCGAAGGATCAGCAGAGCTGGGGAACTGGAGCAGTGGGAACTAGCAGATATCACACTTGGCAAGCAGCATGGGACCAATATAGGTGAGCGGTGACAGAAGAGAGAGGACTGAGCATGGAGAATCAGCAGAGCTGGGGAACCAGTAGATCTGGGGAGCGGCAAAGGATCAACAGAGCTGAGGGACCACAGCAGGAGAAAGTAGTAGATGTCACAAGTGGTGCTCAGCATGCAAACAATATAGCGGGAAGTGAGTGGTGACCGGAAAGAGAGGACTGAGCAGCGGAGAATCAGCAAAGCTGGGGAACCAGAATGTGAGAAACAAGAAGATGTCACATATGGTGCATGACAAGGGAGCAATATACTGTAGCAGGAGGTGAGTGGGGACATTTAAAAGAGGAGGATCAGCAAACCTAGGAAAAAAAGGAAAAAAGGCCTTGTCCCCAAAGAGGGGAATTTCAGTAAAATTAATTCATGTCAAAAGGTTTTATCCCCCTTGAAAATTGTATATAGGTCAGATATGTTGAATGTTTCCTCATGAGAAGACCATCCCCAAGGCGAGCCTTCACAACCAAGTAAAAAAATAAAAAATTAATTAAAAAATTAATTGATAATTAATTAATTAATTATTTTACATAGTGTCACCAGTTAGCATTCCACATCAAAGCCACACCTGTCATATGATGCCATTGTACTGCACTGGTGACAGTATTCTAAAACACAAATTGTGAAAAAAATGTATTTAAATAGAAAAAAACACTTTCCAAAAAATTGTGATAAAAAAATGACAACTTTAAAAAACTCACCATGCCTCTTGCTAAATACTTTGGACTGTCTACTTTCCAAAAAGGAAAAAGGGGTCATTTGGGGGGGGGTATATATACTGTCCTGGGCCTCAAGAAATTAGATAGACTGATGGTACATCAGGATTGATCAAAATATACCATAGTTTGTAGACTCTATAACTTTCACACAGACTAAATACTGTACGTAGCTCCAAGGTAAACAAGAAATTATTTTTTTTTCATTCTTCATACTGAAAAATCAAGATCTGTCCAGTGCAAACATGTTTTTATATATATATATATATATATTTATATATATATATATATATATTTGGACAAAAAGGGTGAGTGAGACATATAATTGCTTATTTATTATTTAACTACAAAAAGAGATATGAAGGCATACAAAATACAACAGCATTCTGACTGGGGTGTTGATTACTGTTTACTTTGCCAGGGAATTAGCCTCAAAGCTTAGTGAATGTGATGAAAGCTCACTTTGAAATCAACCCAAGTTGATTTACTAAAAGCAAAGTGACCAGTCTTTTTGACTTTAGTAAATCAACCCCATCAACTCTTAAATACTCAGTGGGGAGTATAGAAAAATCCAATGTTGGTCACGTCATGAAATAATGATAAATTCTGAAATATGATTATGACTATTTATGCTATTTATTAGAAGAAAATGCAGTAGGCAGTTAGTACATTAGTGTCACAAAATTATCATTCTAAACTGTGCAAAGTCATTTTGTGCTGCCTAAGTGAATACTAAAAATCACTTCATGCAGGCATTTTGTCAGAGGTGTTTTACTGAAATTGCATTGATTTCTTTTTAAGTTTATTATTATCGTAATACTTTATTTCAATGTCTCATTTCATTTGGACACTCTGAAAATGGAAAATAAAGACTATCTTGTCATAAAATGTTCTTTCCACTGCAAAGCTGACAAGTTTTAATGATGCTACTGGAAGATTATAGCAATACGTAAGTCTTACAGCAGTGAATATCACAATTTTGAAGCATTTGGATCTAGAAATTACATTAATAATTCTTTAGGTAGAGTATATAAAAAGTTGTATGCACTTTTGAATATGCTCAATTTTGCAACTGATGCATGAGTCCTTAAGTGTAAAGCTGACATTGTTATCTGAAAGTCACATTTCTTAGGTATAGGTTTAGATGTCTGTAACGGAAGCGTAGGCAGGACAGAGCACACGGAGAAGATGGGGAGCACACAAAACTTTATTGAAACAACAAATTGACAGACACTCAATAGGGAAATGGCAGGGAGGGTGATGTTGTGCGCAAACCAGGGACAATTCCAGGCACAGGGGGGGTCTTCAGGCAATCTCCCCCCTTTAGGCTTGGGGCCTCAGCCGGGCTCCCTCCGTGACTGGACAGCGGATTGGAGACTCGGGCAACAGGCGGCAATCTACCCCTGGGCAGGGCTCGGGCAACAGACGGCAACCTACCACTGGGCAGGGGCCTCGGGCAACAGAAGGCAATCTACCCCTCAACAGGGGCTCGGGCAACAGACGGCAACCTACCACTGGGCAGGGGCCTCGGGCAACAGACGGCAACCTACCACTGGGCAGGGGCCTCGGGCAACAGACGGCAATCTACCACTGGGCAGGGGCCTTGGGCAACAGGCGGCAATCTACCCCTGGGCAGGGGCTCGGGCAACAGACAGCAACCTACCACTGGGCAGGGGCCTCGGGCAACAGACGGCAACCTACCACTGGGCAGGGGCCTCGGGCAACAGCCAGCAACCTACCACTGGGCAGGGGCTCGGGCAACAGACGGCAATCTACCCCTCAACAGGGGCTCGGGCAACAGACAGCAACCTACCACTGGGCAGGGGCCTCGGGCAACAGACAGCAACCTACCACTGGACAGGGGCTCGGGCAACAGACGGCAATCTACCCCTCAACAGGGGCTCGGGTAACAGACAGCAACCTACCACTGGGCAGGGGCCTCGGGCAACAGACAGCAACCTACCACTGGGCAGGGGCCTCGGGGACTCAACGGGACTCTAGCTGTGGAGGCTGGCCACAGCACAGCTCCCACCAGCTTTCTAGGGTCATTGGGTTCACGGGGACTCAACAGGTAGCGATGGCTCAAGCACTCAGGGGCACCACAGGTAGCTATACTCTGGGCATGCCATCAGGACACGGGTGGTCAGTGCACACACAGAGGGGGCGGTTCGGAACATGGGTGGTCGGTGCACACATTGGGGACAGTTCAGGACACGGGTGGTCAGTGCACGCAACAGGAACAGTTCAGGACACAGGTGGTCAGTGCACACAGCGGGGACAATTCAGGACACGGGTGGTCAGTGCGCACAACAGGAACAGTTCAGGACACAGGTGGTCAGTGCGCACAACAGGAACAGTTCAGGACACAGGTGGTCAGTGCGCACAACAGGAACAGTTCAGGGCACTCACGGTAAGCAGCTTGCAGACCCTCAGCGGCAGGCGGCTCCAGACAGGGATGACCAGCGGTCAGCGTTCCAGGGACAACCAGCGATCAGCAGACAGTAGCAGCTCCCAGGGCACTCAGCAGAAGACAGCCTCCAGGGACACGCAGCCACGGATAGTATGCAGGCCCCCTCAGCAACAACTCCCAGGGCACTCAGCAGCAGACAGGGTGCAAGGGTGCTCAGTAGACAGGCTTACAGACTGGCAGGGTCTCAGTTGTGGGGTCTGACCTTTGAGGAGAAGGCTCATGCAGAGCTGTGGAGACTCCCAACCCCGAGGTATTGCAGAGGGCTACAGTCCTGACCTTTTGGGGGTCTGCAGAGCGCGCAGGGGGGATGGCTGGGGAGACTCGGTCCCCCTCACCAGAGCCTCCCAGCATCTTTCTGGGAGCAGGATGATTCTACTCACATGGCCAGGAACAAAAGGGAAGGCTGCTTCCTGTGTGGGTCTCTTGAAGATCATGTGGGACGCGGCTAGGTTGCCTCGGCAACGGCTGGCCCAGCCCTGTCCATGGAAGCCCCACAGACCTTCTAATGTATAAGGGGGAAGGGAGGGGTGGAGGAATATGGCGGGGGATGGGAGAGGCACTGGCAGTCCGTGACAATGTCATTTAACAGAAACCATAGGGGTCAATTCACTAAAGGTTACTGCATGGGATAACACTGTCACATGATTCATTTGCATAAATTATCATATGCGGTAACAAAATATCCAATTCACACAAAAAAAACAATTATGCGGTATTTAGTGCAAAATTAAAAATGTCAGTAAATACCACAAAAAAAAAAAATGCGGTATGCTGTAAGTCCAATTCATAAACACAACAGAAAGTAAAAAAAGATGCAATATTTTTCATCAGGGTTTTGCTGGTGGTATCACATGCAGTATTTTTTCAGATGTAGTGAGTCCCCCCCAACCCTCAGGGGTCTGGTATGGATATTAAGAGGAACCACCACACCAAAATTCTTTTAAAAATGGCGTGGGGTCCCCCCCAGATCCACAACAGACCCAACATCCCTTAGGACTGTGTGACGACACGCCATTTTTTTTTGGTGTGAGGTTCCCCCAAAATCCATACCAGACCTAAGGGCCATTTTTTTTTTAATTTTGGTGTGGAGATTTCCTTAACCGTTTCAATACCGTGCAATTTTACACCTTCCTGCCCAGGCCATTTTTCAGGTTTCAGCGCTCTCACACTTTGAATGACAATTGCGCGGTCACACAACACTGTACCCAAACTAAAATTTTATCATTTTCTTCACACAACTAGAGCTTTCTTTTGGTGGTATTTAATCACCGCTGGGGTTTTTATTTTTTGCTAAATTAACAAAAAAAGACCAAAAATTTTGAAAAAAAACCCCACATTTTTCTCTGTTTCTGTTATAAAAGTTTACAAATAAATAATTGTTCTTCATAAATTTAGGCCGAGATGTATTCTGCTACATGTCTTTGGTAAAAATAACCCAAATTAGGATGTATTTTTTAGTTTGTAGGAAAGTTATAGAGTTCACAAGCTATGGTATAGATCTGAATATTGATCAATCCTGAGTACTGACGGCCAATCTAATTTCTTGAGGTCCAAGAATGTCAGAATAGTACAGATATCCCAAAAATGACCCCTTTTTGCAGAGTAGACAGTCCGACGTACTTCATAAGAGGCATGGCGAGTTTTTTGAAGTATTTTTTTGTCATAATTTTTCGGAAAATGAAAAAATTAAAAAAATTATTTTCACTATTTTTTTTTTTACATACTGTCACCAGTGCAGTACAGCGTCATCATATAACTGGCATGGCGGTGACCAGGGACACTGACTGGTGACAGTATGAAAAAAAAAAAATATATATTTTTTTTTTTAATTTTTTTTATTTTTTTTATAATATTTAATTTTTTATTACATTTTTTTAAAAAATTTTTAAGATTTTTTTTTCATATTTTACTATGACCAAAGTAGTACAATGTTACCATAGTAACATTGTACTACTTTGGGGAAGTGATCAGTATTTTTTTTTTTTTTTTTTTACACAATTTTTTTTTTTGTTCTTAGCTGTGATTTGGTCACAGCTAATCACATGACATGTGCATGTGATTAGCTGTGACCATTCACAGCTAGGCACTAGTATACAATGGATGGCATCATGAATGAAGCCATCCATGTATACAACTGTCATGTGACCTGCTGTGATTGGTCACAGCAGGTCACATGGTACCAGCAACGGGAGCCGGTACTCGGATCTGTCATTGGCCGTGTCCGAGGTGCACGGCCGGTGACAGATCGCACTGCTGCGCCGCTCTGCATGTACCAGGATCAAAAATGGCCGTCACCGCACTTCCGGAAGAGCGTAGCTACGTCACCACATCACGTGCCCCGGACGCGTTTCGTCACATCCGGACTTTATCAACAGATCCCTGTTGATAAAGTCGGATGTGACGAAACGCGTCCAGGGCACGTGATGTGGTGACGTAGCTACACTCTTCCGGAAGTGTGGTGACGGCCATTTTGATCCTGGTACATGCGGCTGTGGCTTCCTGGAATCCTCATGGGGCTTTGAGGTACTGGGGACTCACCACAGGCAATCGGTTCCCCCTCGGGAGTGAGATAGTGTGGAATCTATACACTTATGAGGAGAGGCAGGACTGTGAACATATCGCTTGTGATGTTGAAGCTGATGTCATTATATTTGAATGTAAGTTGCTACAATAAAGTGCTATAAGTTTTTATGATACATACTGATCCATGGTCTGTTTATGAGGTCTGTGGGAAGTGGCTGGAAAGGCTGAAGGAATAATTTAAAGGTTGGAAAGAAATACTCAGACCCTTGATACCATTCTGAGGGTAACTATGACCTTCCTTTAGTGGTATGCAGTGGATTGACTCCTAAGGCTGAGGGATTTTTCCTTTTTCACGGTTGTGGTGGCACGTTTATTTTTTATGTGCATGAAACACGTGTGGCACGGTTGCTTAGATACCCTTTTTCTTTGAAGATATCACACATGTTGAGTTTTTTTTTTTCTTTGAGGTATATGAATATCTGGTTGGAAGTATATCACAAAGATTTTGGAAGATATGAAGAATGAAGATATCACAGATAAAGATTTTGATATAACTATTTGGGACTTTATTTTGGACTTTTTTTTTTTTGCTGTTATTTTATATTTCATTTTTTGGGTGGTTTTTTTGCTTTTTTGTTTATATTCTTTTGGGGTTTGAATTTTATCTTTACACTCTTATGTTTATACACTTATATTAGATTAGAGGGTAATCAAGTTTACTATATTTTGATGTTATTTATACTTCAGGGGAAGGATTGTGTTGGTAACTTAGTGGGGATTTTATTCTGTGAAAGGATAGTGCTATTTGTTGAATATTAACAAAAAACACTACTTTTGCTTACACATGATTGAATAATGGAAGTCAGTACACCTTCACTTCATTCACTAAGCTAAGTGAAATTTCACTTGCAAAGCGAAAATCCCTCTTTGTCTTTAGTAAATCAACCCTATTCTGTCTTGGCAATATCTCATCTCATGTGAAACTGTTAGAGTATGTGGGGTACAGGTAGTGCTCAATGTTAACATATTGTTTAAGCCATTTTTAGTTGACTGCACCCCTAGGCTTTTTCTTGGGAAACACTTCTATTGTGCAGTTGTAATTTTTCTTTTTTTGTTTTTTCTAAGTGCAACTGTACTACATGATGTATTTTTCCAGTGGTAGCCGATAAGGCTGTCATCTTTAAATCATAAACAGATTTTATAGCTTTCCAAAGAGTAAAATTACAACCCGACAAAATATTTTTCCAATAAGATACATAAAGTCATTAAAATAATGTATTTAATGCATAGTTTTGAAAAAAATCCATACATCATCATGCCATAAATCACCCTATCGAAGTAGCCGCAGTGTCTTGACCCCAGTCAAGCTCCTTGGTGATTGCATCTCAAAATCTCATGCAAATTATTTCATTAAAAACACCATTTCTACTATCTGCTGGTGAGATAAGTCCATGAATATCATTAAAGACAATTCTAAGATCCAAGCACAGTTTTCAAGATAACAAGAGGATAAAAGGTATGTACTCTTCTGGGAAGAGAACACTGACAAGTGAGAACAGAAAGGAAAGAGATGCAACCTCGATCATTGCACTTCCAAGGTGTACTTGCTGTTGTTTCAGATCCAGAACTCAGAAAGCAGAGACAGTTACAATACCACAGAGTACTTTCCAAAGTAAAAACAGTAATACTACTGAAAGATATTAGAAAGCTTGTTTGATAAAGTGAGTAAGTGGGAGAAGGCGATGTTTCTCTAGAGTGTTTCTATCACCTGAATAATATTAAATGATGTTACAAAAGCACTAGCCTAATACTAAAACACATGAACTAAGCTGTTTTACTGAACTTATAACTACATTGCATCCCAATGATATCTTGTAAAATTGCTGAAAGAAAGCCACAGGGACCAACTATATTGACAGACAGCATTTTTGGAAAAAGTTGAAACAAAACAAACCAGAAATCCACACTTATTGAACAATGGTTTTAGGCCAGACTACATCCTTATCTCATTGATCACCAGCAACAGTGGGGCTGATTTAAATTTAGAAAGATATTATTATTATTATTATTATACAGGATTTATATAGCTCCAACAGTTTGCTCAGCGCTTTACAATACAACGGGAGACAATACAGCAACAATACAGTTCATACAAGAGGGATAGGAGGGCCCTGCTCCTTGGAGCTTACAATCTAGGAAAAAGATATATCTCCCTTATAGCAACCAAGCTTGAAGATAAAGAAAAAATGTATTGATTAGAAATGGTAAGACGTAATGGAGCTCAGTGATGGCATGCATATAAGCGTTTTACTTTCTATCCCTAAAGTGTTTTCTGTGTTGTATGGTCCTATTTTTATAAAAAGGTTAAGAACACTAACTAAAGTGATTGTAAAGGTTCAAATAATTAAAAAAAAAAATGTCCTACTTTCCTGCTCTGGTTTTGCACAGAGCATCCCCTGATCCTTCTCTTCTTGGGTCCCCAGCCGGCAATCCTGACCCCTCCCTACCCGCTGAGTGCCCTCAGAGCCAGCTTCTTACTCTGGGGGCACCTGTGCATGCTTACTCCCAAGCTCCTCTGTGTGTCTATGAAACACACAGGGCATGTCTCAGATCCCCCCCCCCCCCTGAACCAA